CGTTTGAGGTCTCCCCGCCGAATGTTACGTATTCTCTTATCAAGACTATGCAAAACGGAGAATAACGAATAATCCCACATAAGCATTACGTGGTTTCTTCGGTCGCACGGGGGGATGGAGATGACCCTGTCCATGCTGCAGATGTTTTAAGTCAGTTTAAGTCAGTTTATTAAGGGAATGAGGCTTTCGCCCTTGAGCACCCTATTCATGTCAATAAACAGAAATAAAGTCATCAATTACATCAGCAAATGCGAAAAGTTAAGAAGTTAGCGGTAAGTGTGAGCCAGGCGCAAACTGCCGCCGCTAAAACAATCATGATTGAATGTACAGTAGGTTCTCAACAAGTGAGCGTCTAGTCTGCACTTAAAGGATTTAACACTTTCGGAAAGAACGACGGCATCAGGGAGTCCATTCCATGCCCCGATGACCCTGTGTGAGAAGGCGTTCCGTCGGACGTCCGAATGAGCCCGCTTCCTTTGCAGTTTGAACGGATGACCACGCAGACGGTCAGTCCGGGCCAATTCAAAGAATTCATCAAAATCTAGGGCACACTCTCGGCTTCTGACAATCCTGTAGGTTTGAATGAGATCGCCGCGCAGTTGCCTGTAATTTAGAGGAAACAGATTTAGTTCAGTCAGCCTGGTTTCGTAAGGCAAATAATGAAGATTCCTGACCATCTTCGTAGCCATCGCCTGTACTCTTTCCAGTCGTTGATAATCTTTCTTTAACCACGGTCGCCAGGCCTGGACTGCATACTCTAAGTGAGACCGGACGAATGCCCCATAGGTTTTTCCGAACAGCTCCTTGTCGATCTACACAAATCCTCGCCTCAGCGCAAATAACACCCTTATAGCACTTTTGGCTGCCCTTTGACACTGTGAAGATGGTTTCAGCGAGGAGGTCATTAGGACTCCCAGGTCTTTCTGTTCCACAACATTTGAAGGGGACTGACCACCAAGGACATATTGAAAGGAATCGTCCTCCTTACTGGTCCGTCTGGTGCGGAGTCTCAGGACCACACATTTGTCCACATTAAAATTGAGGAGCCAGCGAGCTGACCAACTGTTTAGGCGGTTGAGACTGTCTTGAAGCGCGTACCTGTCTGCATCAGATCTGATGGGTCTCCACAGCTTAACATCGTCAGCAAACATGATGGCGCTGCATCCCAGGTCGTCGACGCAGTCGTTAATGTAAACCAGGAATAGCAACGGCCCTAAGACGGAGCCCTGGGGTACACCACTTAGAACGGGGGTAGGAGTTGACCTTGAGGCCTCAATGCACACGGTTTGCGATCTCCCGGTAAGAAAATCTGTTATCCATGTCAGCAGCCTTCCTCTTATCCCAATTTCAGAAAGTTTGTAGATTAGGCGTTTGTGTGGGACGCTGTCGAACGCCTTCTTAAAGTCTGTGTATATGACATCAACCCTCCCATCCTCATTCAGTGCGCGAGTCCACTGCTCCGTCGAGAGCAATAAACTGGAAAGACACGAGCGGTTCTGTCTAAAGCCGTGCTGCAGGTCTGAGATTAAATGACCCTGCTCCAGGAACTCCATAGTTGCTTTCTTAACTATGGCCTTCATTATTTTACAGCAGATGCAGGTTAGACTAACAGGCCGGTAATTGTTAGCATTAGTGCGAGCCCCGCCCATGTGTATCGGAAAGATATTTGCTGTCTTCCATTCCGATGGCAACCTCCCTAATTCGAATGACGAGCGGAAGATGTGCGCCAGTGGTTTGGAAAGTTCATTCGCCAGTTCCTTCAAGAATTTGGCCGGTATATTGTCCGGACCCGAGGACTTTGCTTCTTTGAGATTTTTCAGCTCCCTTTCCACGGCAGCTGCCGGGAAGAGTATGGAGTCAAGCACGGGACCAACAGTCTCAAGAGCATTGCCGGCACTGCGACAGCGAAACTCTGTTTCTCTAGTAAAAACGGAGGCAAAATACTGTCCTAAGTGTTCGGCTTTCTCGTTGTTCTCACTGATCTCTACACCATTATCATCCTTCAGCACCGCGACCGGGTCCTTATTTTTCAGTCTACTGTTCAGATAGTGAAATAAAATCTTAGGTTTCTGTTCAGCCTGTCGTATAATTTTGGATTCATACTCCTTCCGTGCCTGACGGATACATTTTTTGACGGCGTTTCGTTGACGACGAAATTCTTCGAAATGCGCTGGTGACGCAGTTTCCCTGAATATTTTCCATCTTTTGCTTTTCTTCCGTAGCTGCTTATTTAGGTCCCTAGTTTTCGTAAGGACTTAATCCTGACAGTTTACTTTTTGCCCTTCACGCGATCTCGTTGGAGACGTTACACGTTGCGTTAGGAACGCTTTCTATGCTTTGTGCAGTAGACGGTTGTTGGAGGTCGATTTTGGTCATGGCACTTGAATCGCGCTCCAGTTAATTTTCGGTGCGTTAAACTCGCACTTGACTATGATATTTGGTCGAATGGGGAATTTCTCCATCTACTCCACTAGATGAGTGTCGGCGAGTTGGTCTGTCCTATGTGATCGGCAGATAGTGAGGACATCGAAACACGGGAATCCAGTAGCCCACCAAACAGCTTATGTGCTGTAGAAATCTTGGTGTTATTTCCCAACACCATCAGGGCTTCTCTCACATACACAATTGTGTCACCACCCTGACAGTCTTCTCTTTCCCTCCGATATATTTGCTATCCAGTTAAGGTTATTTCACTATCACTAATATTCCCGGACAGCCAGGTTTCGATGACTGCTATAACATCTGGAAACACTTCGGTAAGTCAATATTTTGATCATCACATTTCGGTATGAGGCCTTGGACATTGGTGTATAAGCATCTCAATTTTGCGTCAACTGAATTTCCGGTCGTATCTGTCACTGTTGAGAGCCTTACTGCGTTGCTGCGGACATCATTTTCACTAGCCTGATCCGTTGTTTGATGGGCTTCATCAACTCTGGTTTCTTCTGTGGGCGTTATTCTCTTAGTTATGCTGCCGCCTCAAGAGGCTGTTTCCACGGTGTGTCTGTTTTAGCTGAGTTACTGCCATCGTTCTTAGTATTATTGGCTGGTTTAACTGATGAAGTGCTTCAACGAAATTTATTTTATAAAAAATTGTTTTTTCCGGTCTGTATACGATAGAAATCGTGAATATGTGGAACGGACTACCAATAAGGGTTGATAGCTCCGTTTAGGGCGCGATAAGCACCGTATAGTCTCCAATCGTCAGCCGCTTTCTTAGGCACCGTATAGAGTGGAGAAGCCCGTAGACTGGAAGAAGGATGGAAAATCCCCAAATTCATCGTATGTCCGAATTCTTTCTTTGTTACCCGGAGCTTCTCGGAATGAAGTCTCCGCAGATGGGCGTGTAGGGGTGCTTGACCGCGTGACAAACTTCTTCGGTGAACTGACATGGTTAAATGATCGATGGGCAGTACCTAAACTGCTGACGAAGAGCAAACAAGGAATATTCAAGTGTTCCTACGACCGAAGATTCGGAAGCGACAGTACCTACTGTAAAGAGCCCAGTTGTGGTATCGACCAGTTTGCGATGCTTCAGATCGACTGCAGGGCCAGCACGCGGCAGTAAATCAGCCCCGATAATGGGCGTCTGAACGTTGGCCTGCAAAAAGACCCACTATAAGCGTTGTGGGAGACCCATATCAAGGATGAGCGAGCATTGTCCGCAAGTGTTGATGGTGGTGCTATTGGTAGTCTGTAATGAGAACTGCGATGTCCTGAGGTGGTGACGCCTAGGAGGTGGGGTGACACTGACTTCGGCACCGGTATCGACAAGAAAACAGAGACCGCTCGACCCACCATTGATATAAATAGGCGACTGGGTCACGACTGGCTAGCAGGAGCCGTCGCCATTACCGCATGGCGTTGTCGTTTACCCACGGTAAAACTTTTGGTAATGTGCAGGCTGGAGTGCACTTACGTTCTTTCGGACCATAAGTACGATGGGGACAGCACAAGGTTTGCGAGTGTCGTTCGCGTAACTTTAAACGACGGCGTAGATATGCTTGATTTCGAGTTGACTGTAGACTACATATAGTAGTACATCAGCCTTTCCCTTAGGTGTACAAAAGGCGAACGGTGTCCCCTAAATCTTCGTATTCTCCGCGGTCAGGATCGTTCGGCACTCTTGAAAGGCTCGTCACGATGCGCGATATTAGGATGACAACTCTCCATAGGGAATGTCGCGTACTGACGAGGGAGGAACTTCTGGATCAGAAGTGGCAACTCTTTCGAACTTTTTGGAAACCGATGTCTGTTGAATGTTAGAATATAACGCACCAAAAGGGAATCATTCCCTGATCCAGTCGGCGGGGTTGGTCATCTTCATCATCCGGTTAGCCAATTTAACCACACACCGAATCTCAGCGTCCCTCAGTGGAGTATAAGGTTCGTCGGCAGGAATCGGATCGAGGAGGTCGTCGGCGTCGACAGCGATATCGAATGGAAGAGACTTCACCACGCACGAATGATGTGCGCGTTCGCTGCTGACATGGCTCGTCAAGTAAACGGCCTTAACTGGCCTAAACTATACTCAGGAGTTGTTCGGCGTGAACGGGGGCTATTTGAGGAGGAGAGTGCTAACGTCTACGGAGTATACTTTGGATGCCCTACCGGTCATGACAAATAGAAGTGTGGGTAAATGTAGAAAAACAGAGTCATAGAGTGTGTACTATGTACAACAATTAAAACTACAGAGAAAAAATGGATACAGGAGAATCTTAGTTATTGCGTCTCTTACAGAAAAACGACAAAAATATGGGAAAAACGTCAAAGGTAAATAGGTGCACAGACTCACGGAAATTTAAGTCCTCTGCTGTATCACTTGTTGCAGTGCGAACGGTCCGGGAAGTTCAGAGCCGAGGTCAGTTAGTAGAGCTTGATGCTTGGGTAGAGTCACGATCCGTGAGGTGCGACCGAAGAATAAAAACTGTTCATGACAATCGACAAAAAAATGATTGACACACATGAGCGTAATCAACGAAGCACTGACACCATGTAACTTGCGGACCCAACACACGCGTTGTTAAAAAATTGAAACTCGTTGTTCTGCGTATTTAACACACACAGACAGCAGTACGTAAATGTTCGGGTATACAAGAAAATGCGAAGAGGAATTTCAAAATGCACATAGACCTACGGACTCCATAAAGTCCTCAACAACTGGGGGCGTTTAAAATAAATTAGAGCAGCCCACTTATTTCGTACGTAGAAACAATTCAAAACAGTGCCACTGGCATGATTAGAGTCGGCATTCAGAGTACTGAATGGTCGTAAGGGTGGGGCCTGCAGCCAACTGCTCCCACCCGAACGATGTCTCGGCCATGGTGCGCCTAGCCGTCCAACCTAGTGTGCAGTAAAACCAATAAAAGTCGGAAACATTTTGTAACATATGGGCGGGAATAACATTGAATAAAGTATCAGGTACTCACAGGAAATAAAGACAGCCGATTAGTACACAGTGCTGTTGTCCAAATTTCTGCAGTCTTCCATAAAGCATTTGCATATAACCAAGAGGCAACCATTTTTTGTCATTTAACGTCCTGATCATACATTTGATCTTCTCCGGTCTTCGTCTTTCTAATATTTGTCCTAACTATCTTGCCCTACCATGCACATTCCTTGGCACTATGTACCACTGAAATTCTTTTTTGGTTTTTTCATTCCTGTCATCAATCCCCGTAAGTCTCCTTTGGGTGTATGATAACTCTCAGATTGGCTTGATAATGTATTTGCGGAACATGGTCCGGATTATTTAACATGATATGCAGGGACTACGACCTCTAAGCAACCTTGAACAATTCTGAAGTCTAAAACCGAACTGACCTAGTCGGATTGTTTGTTTGACCGCTGCCCCCACTTTCTGTTTCTGCCTCCCAAGATGTCTGGCAACGAGGCTTATGTTAACGCTTTGGAACGTGCTAAACAAGTAAGACAGGGTTCTTTTCGCTTAATGATCACTAAGGTTGTATCAAAGTTCTCCGCCCCTGATGACAGTCACTCCAATGGCGGTGTTGCTGGAAGTAAACGGCCAGCCGACGACTCGAATCCATACGCAAGTGCTGAAAAGCGTCCTTTTGTTAACGATAAAGCAGCCGCTGCTGCAGCGGAAGCTGCTGCCAGGATTACACAGAAAATATCAGGTGGTGTCTCCGCTCCTGCCCCTCCCGCACCTGGTGGCGTCAGGACTATAACTGCAGAGACCACGATCCCAGACCGTTTTGTCGGCTTGGGTACGATTCGTTTAGCCTTGCTTTTTAGTTCTAGTTATCGGGAAAAAGGGTGAACAGATCTCTCAATTGCAGAATGACTCTAATTGTAAAGTCCAGATTTCTCAAGGTATGACAGCTTTTTAACATTGCAACATTACAGAGGGTGGGCGGCCTGAGCGCGTAGTAACTCTAACCGGCACTCCCCAACAAGTCCAGTAAGTTGCCAAATTTCGCCTTATTCTTCTCCAGACACGCGAAGCAGATGTTGGCCGATATTATTGACAGAGCCGAGAAAGCTGGTTTGGGCGGCCCACCTCCCCAGGGAAATCCTCCAATGATGGAACCACCCGCTTACCAACACAATGGCCCCATTACTACGATCGAGTTAATGATTCCGGGCACGAAAGCTGGGTTAGTAATAGGGAAGAATGGAGAGACAATCAAACAACTCCAAGAAGAGAATGGTGTCAAGATGGTACTTATTCAGCAAAGCAGCGCACCAACTCCGGAAGACAAGCCCTTGCGTATCACTGGAGAGCCTATGAGGGTTGAAAAGGCAAAGGCTCAGATCTACGAGATCATCACGGTAATCTCCTATTTCGTGCTCACTATTCTTCATTAGCGAGGTCGGATGAGTGGCTATGGTGACAACGCGGAGGTAACGCGCTATGCGGTGCCAGCCGAAAAAGCCGGTCTTGTCATCGGCAAAGGAGGAGAATCGATAAAGGAAATTTGTCGCGTTAGTTGCGCCCATGTTGAAATATCGAAGGAACCACCACCGGATCCGTCTATCAAAATTTTCAACATCCGTGGTAATCGAGGCGAGATTGAACAAGCCATAAGGTAGTTTTCTGATGTTATGTTCATTCAAGTGTGTTGTATGCGATTTCACGTTTTTATTATAGCTTTAGCTCTGTAGTGTGCACCCGTTGTCTGCCCCCGTCGGGTGTGTGGGTATTACTTTGTACAGACCGCTGGTTAAACTGCTATATTTCATTGTTGGAATGTTTCAACATTTTAACGATTCTAGCATTTCCAGTAATCATCAAGCGGTAAGCTCTTGCGCAGGTCCTTATGCGGTGGGTGCCGGTAATCTGTAAGGTTTCCCAAATTACACGTCCTGCGTGCGTGTTAGTCGCCATTTTTAATGACGGTCCGGATTTCATTTGGATTTCATTGATAAAGTTGTTTGTGCGAAACCTTGATTTAACGGGATGTATTATTTCTGTTAACTTTGTTAATCTTTATGATGCTTAGCCGTGTAACTTGTCTTGCTGTACATTACTGTTCTCCGCAGTCGATCCCCAAGCCACTTTATTTGAGCCGTGACTACGCGTGGTTTCATCAGTCGCCCATTTCCGGCGCCCATTAAAATTAATTCCTGGTTTAGGTGCCGGGCCCTTTTTCGCTTATTAGCAATTGCTAGGTGTTCATCGTCTGGATGGACCTGCACAGAGGCATGCTGGTCTCCAGGGAGCTCTTGGACTATTTATTTTTGATGTATATTTTATATATGCATTCTAATGACTTTCTCTGACATGGCGCCGTTTTCGTTTGTGTTGCCTTTGTATTTTGGTGAATATCTCGCTATATACCTATTGGTCATGTCTTCGTAAATGAATATGCCTCGTTCGCTATGCGTTGCTGGAATCTCTGTGCATAAAGAATGATCTCTGAGCGTGCCGGTATCCCTATCACGAGACCCGCAACCGGGGCTGCAGTTTCCAGCACATGGGGACAATATGGCTATCCTCAACCAGGTAAGAAGTATTTATTTTGTTGCCCACTGACCAGTCCGGTCGGTGCAGTGGCGAAAGTAAAAACGCAGAGAGCTGAGAAGTCAAACGTTTCTGAGGTGGCATCCACCGTAGCTCTGCTTAGACGTAATCTTTGTAGGTTCAAATTAAGCGGACCTTTTGTTATAGTTTCTTTCAACTTACTTTTTATGATACATTCATAATGAAATGTAGTTCATAGACTTATAGTAAGGTGTTACCGGTGAGATGTGACGCCTGGCCAGCCCGGTCGCTCATCTACTCTTGACCACATCTGTATACCATCCTCATTTCAGATCCTTGGGGTGGGGCGAATGGTGCGGCGTCGTCAATGGCCGGGAGTGGAATGCCTGCTCCGACTTACAACCCTTACACTGGGCAGCCTGATTACAGCGCCGCCTGGATCGAGTATTACAGACGCCAGGGCATGCATGAGTATGCGGATATGATCCAGCGCCAGTCCCAACAACAGGCAGGTGCAGTCGCTCCCGCTGCCGCCGCACCAAACGCACCATCAGGTGTTGCGCCCGTTTCTCATCCAGGCCAGCATCCTGCTGGAGCTTCACAACCACAGCAACCCGGATCCGTTGCAGCTCCCGCAGCCCCAGGTTATGGAGCCGTCCCTGGCCAACCTGCCCAACAGGTTAGTCTTGGGTGTCTGAAGTCTTTATGCGACTTTTTATTCAACCGCACGCATTTAAGACGACTTATTTCCAAGTTGTTTGAACAAGAATCTCGTGTTTTTTGTTTAATGTAATTTCGTGTGTTTCAGTGTGATTACAATCAATGGCAACAGTGGCAACAGTATCAGGCTTGGCAGCAAGCATACCAGCAACCTCAGCAACCCGGTATGGGCCATCAGATGCCCGGCGCAGGCATGCAATCGGCCTCCGGAGCGCCTCCGCCGGTGTCTATGGGCGGAGTGATGCAGCATGCCCCCCAGCCACCACAATAACCGTTGTCCCGTTGCCTTTTTCAGTATATCATTGTGAGGTCGTTCGCCCATTTTAATAAATGTCTTATGAAGAAGTGCAGAGGAGCATCATCTCCCCGTCTGCTCTGGGATTGTTTATCGGGACTTGGTCTCGATAGTAGAGTAGCTGCGGCCGGGTGACGAGTAGGGTGGCTAAAGGGCTGTTAGATATTTGTGAATATAGGATTCAGAGGAAGCGACGGACAAGAGCACCCCACTCAAAGCGTAAAATGTCACTGCCATCGAGGTCTGCCACCTGGGTAATGTAATTTGTGTCCATATTCTGGCTGTTACCTGTGGTGACCCGAATGGTTGCTAGTGTCGTTCCCTCTCGGCTGTATCCGGCAGCAGTCTCCAGAACGGGGCTTTACACACGCCTCTGAACACATGATGGCGGAGGGGACCGGACTGCGTTTTAGAAGTGTGCTGACCGACTGATAACCCTTTTGTGCGCGGTCGCCATTTCAGCTCGCGTCAGCCTGGCTCTCGTCTGTGGCTCAATGATGCTGTTCAGCGTAGTGTCTGGATCGCGACACCTGCTCGCCTAGATGTGGGTAACCCAAGAGTTCCCTTCAGTGAAATTGAAACAGCAAGTCGACATGTGCTCTCGGTTGTAGGCAGACTCCGAATGCCTTTGTACCGACGAATGGGTGGAAGTGAGGTTGCATGTCATCGACTGGACGCTTCGTGTGGCGGGCACCTCGAAGTTGACATCGTATTCCCAGTTGAGGGAAAGTCTGACGGAGGGTGCTTGCGTCTGAAGATTCTATAGCACGGTGGGTGACTTCGTGGCGGGGTCATCACGGAGGGGGGTACTTAACGCGACCTGGGTGTGTTCGCCCGTGTTTCCAGATTTGACTGGCATTCAGGAAGCACAGTGTGGCCGCCATGGGCTGGCAGGCATCAGAACGCGCGAAGCATACAACCACCATCAGTGCTTGTGACTATCGCTACCCCGACCATGTTTGTTTATGTTGCAAAATCTCGACAGACAGTGCTCAGGTGGCAACCCGTGCGCGGCCGTCCCGGCATCAGTACGGATTGAGGGGGACTCGAGACCATTGTCCACACCACGCACCTCCATGATGCGTTGCCAGCTCGCTAGGATCAGGTGAGATTACAGCCTTCATTCGAGTTCTGGGCGCACATGTTCTGTAACCTTTCGGTACGCTGAGCGCATCCGATTTTCTAAGACGGATCGTGCGTCAGTGGGACGGCAATGCTCTACCGCGACGTGGCAGCTTCTGACGGACAAGGGGAGGGTGTTGCGGGGAGGCGAATACTTCACTTGGACACCTGGGACTTGTTAGTGCGGTGACCGGCTCCTCGTGCGTCCTGACGGCCGACGTCCACTTGAGGCTCGTATTTGTCTTCAAGGATACGTCCTAAACAGCGCTGACGTCGTGCCTGGGGCAACTACCTGCACAATGAGCGCTCTGTTCACGACAGGATTGCTGGGCGCTAACAATGTCCGCCACACGACTGACACTGCCGCTCGGTGGGGGTTACCCGCGATAAACTGTTTTCCAGTAGCGCGCGATGATGTT